ATAAAACCTAGCTGTTACCTAGATCTGTCTTTATCTTTAGACGAAACACATAGTTTACATGGTAGATAGAAAAAAAGAAAAGAAAAGGTACATAGTTGTTATGTTTAAAAAGCTAGAGATAATTTTGGGAGGGGTACTAGATAATCCCGGCCTCAGGAATCCCTCTCCTAAGAGGGCTTCTAGGTTTTTAGTCTTAAGAACCGCAACCACACTGTGATTGTTTTAAAATTATTGTTGTATTTTATTGTATGTTTTAATTTATAATTGATTTAATAATTTTTTAAAGGGGGGGATTAGATTTTACAGTTGTATGTATATTTTATTCTTGTTAGCCGCCCCGATTGATCTCAAAGGGGCGGGATATAAATAAACTTTATTATTATTATTATTATTATTATTATTATTATTAAAACAACAGCTAATAAAAGCCACTTGGGGTAGTGTTACCTAGCCATTGGAGGGATGTCTCATCAGTGAAGTTGTCAGTGAGAAGTTATCACAGTTGGTGCATGTGTTTTCTTCTGGGTCGCCCAGGAAATAATGGGATTGTACTTGAAGCAGTTGGCACTGAAGAGGCAACAGGAAATGGACAACACAAAACATATAGAAGAAGCTATGATGGCCCTTAAGGTAAAATGAATGTGTGCCCATTTGTTGCTGGGATGGGACCCTCATATTATGGGCAGGCACCCATGCCGCATCAGTTGCATGTGAAGAACATTTAAATTGTTTAAATGTGTTTTAATTTGTTATTGATTTAATACTGTTTTAAGGGGTGGGTGGGAATGTTGTGATTTATTATGTATGATTTTATTCTTGTGAGCCGCCCTGATTGGGTTTCCCAAAGAGCGGGATACAAATAAATTTTTATTATTATTATTATTATTATTATTATTATTATTATTATTATTATTATTATCATTATTATTAGAACAAACTTGACTGTCCCTTTCAAGGCCACACCTCGCTTGTTAGCACGGCTTGGATTATTCGCTCACACCTCTGAAAGTAAGGAATTGGTTTGGACATACTGAATGCAAAATGAAATGGAAGTCCAAAAAACACTGCAGAAATACTCCAGTTTGAGACCGCTTTAACTGCCCTGGTTCAGTGCTAGGGAATCTTGGGAACTGTAATTTATTGTAGCACCAGAGCTCTCTGACAGCAAAGGCTAAATGTCCCACAAAACTACAGGTCCGAGAATTCCCAGACATTGAGCCAGAGCAGTTAAAGCAGTCTCAAACTGCATTATTTTTGCAGTGTGTTTTGGATCAAAGTGTTCTACCAAAAATAGAGTAACAGTGGAAGCTTGTCTTTGATAGCCAAAATCCTAGAAAGGTCCCAGTACTGAAAATGCCAAAAAGTGAGGTAGTGGGGGAAGTGGAATATGACTTGGAAAACTGTGGCAGCACATTCAGAACTGAATACTTGTACTTTTATTCCTGTGGCTTCTGTGTTGCTTGAGTTTGCACATGCCTATTAATAATGTATGCACAGCTTCAGCTTTGCATGTGGAACCTCTTGTATCTGCTCCAATAATAAGAATATGGATATCATCTGTCTTTGGCTTGCTACTCATTTGCCTTTGAACCTTCACTGCCTATGGCAGCACAAGGACTATCTCTTGCATTAAGACAAGAATGGGCAAAGTGCATCCTTGAGAGGCCATGCACAACCTCAGGGTTGTTTTTGCAGCCCCTGACATCCCCCAATTCTTCCAGACCACTCTGTTTCTGACAGCAAAAGCGTGACATTACTCTCCTTTAATTTTCCAAGCCTGACAATTCGCCTTATAAATAAATCAGACACACTCTGACCAGCAGTCTTTGATATTACCAAAATATTGAGGACTTTTCCCTTTCATTTTTTTTTCTTGGTGCAGCTCCTAGAGGTTCTCAGTGGCAGAAAAACTGCCCCCAGATCCACCCAAATTGCGCCTGGATCCTATATTAGAACATCAGATGTTTGTGTCGTTTGCCTGGCTCCAAATACCTTAAGCACTGTCTTCATGAGCTTACAGTCAACAATGGTCACTTTCTGCATTCGTCTTTGCAGTAACACTTGGTTTGGACAGTGAAGCAAATGCTTCCATTGGATCCCTGCCCCAGCTCCCAGTGAATGATGAAGTGGGAATGTTGGTCTGATTCATTGTTCTTTCTTATTTTGGATTACAATTTGGATTTCCTGCTGATTAACCTTCAGCAAAACACTCAGAATCTGCAACTTCTATTAGGCACTATGCTGGACATGTTGAATCTCCTGAGTTGCTCAATGTTTTCTTTCTCATCATATTATATGGCTGTTGTGTAGGAGGATTGTGAGAACATATAAATGAGGCATGGCCATCACCATATCTTGGCTGAACAGACATTTCCATCACTAGATGTATGCACAAAGTACAGGTATACCTCAGTTAATGAAGGAGATATGCTGCTGGGCATTACTACTTTATGGAAAATTTGGTACCAGAGGCAGAAATAAGGATAGAATAAAGATAGGTTCCTACACCACAAAAGAAGAAGAACAGTTTAACATGTTTCAGCACACTTTTCATCCAAACTCATAATATGGGCAGGTGAAATGAAGCAACCAGATTAGGTAATCCTTGAGGAAGTAAACAAAAACAGCTTGAAACTTTTAGAGACCACACAAAATATTTTTTCAAATGTATCCAAGGATGATTTTTAAAATCCCTTTAGCCTCCACTTTTCTTATCATTTCCATTTTTGGTGGCCACATTTACAGATTTGTGCTGCTTTAATGTGCTGGAGGTAACTGGTGAGGCAGCTTCCGTTCTCTCTGTTTTGCTGTTCACACATGCTCAGTAAGGGATTCTGGAAGCAAATGGAGTTTATTTTGGCTGTTTTGGACAGGCACTCACAGCAGTAGTAGAATTGGCTAGAGCAATATCCCATTCTTCCCAGTTCATACATTGCACTGTTTAATGCACAGCCTTCTGCAAACTGACATAGAAAGCATGTGTTCCCCCAGCTTTCCTTTACCACTTCCCAGTAGATTTGTTGCTAAAATACAATACAAAACAAAAGAAACAAAAACTTTCCAGCTAGACAGAGAACAAGGAGGGAAGGCAGGGGCTGGTATATTTGGGCAGCAGTACAGTGACACTTCTTAATAAATGTTACAAAGGGGGGTTGCAGACTGCCAGAAATAGTGCAAATTGAGTCCACTTTTAAGGTTAGTGTTAGGGTTAGTGCTAGGGAATCATGGGAATTGTTTTTTTTTTTTTCTGAGACATTGAGCCTTCTCTGTCAGAGAGCTCTGGTGCCACAATAAAATACAGTTCCCATGATTCCCTAACCCTAACCCTAAAAGTGGACTCAATTTGCACTATTTCTGGCAGTCTGCAACCCCCAAAAGTTACTTCCATCTATATTGCGTGATTCATTTCACCTGCTCATCTTACACTTTAGTCACTTCTGGCACAACCTGTAACAAAAATAAAGGACACAATTTGGTTTTCTCATCATCATGCCCTTAGGGACAAATGATGACACTGACAAAAGTTCATCAATATACCATAACAACATCCAGGTGATAATTATTACTTTACGATCCCCCTCGTATATGTGCATGCAAGGAAGTGATATATTTTGCCCTTCATGATGGTGTTTGTGCTGTGAGATGTATATATGCATCAATCTGCCCACAGATTGTTCATGCCCTTTTGTTGCTGTTGTTGTTTTGACTTCAAGTTATCTCCAACTTATGGTGACCCTAAGGCAAACCTATCACAGGGTTTTCTTGGCAAGTTTCTTGAGTGAGGAGCTGCCATTGCCATCCTCTGACGCTGAGAGATTGTGACTTGCCCAGATCACCCAGTGGATTTCCATGGCCGAGCAGGGATTTGATCCCTGGTCTCCCAGTCATACTCCAATGCTCACACTACTAAACCATGCAGGTTCTCTCATGCCCATTACATGCTGGCAAACGGCACAGTGTATATGAGAGAGTGCTGTGGTTGTAATTGATAAAACAACGCAGCACTGCTGCCATGCTTTTGCCATGATTTCTGACATTGCTTGAGTCATTCATAGCATTTCAACCAGCAAAGAGACTTTCACTGCCTATTATAGAAATATCATGATTGCTGTGTGCCTCCAAGTTGTTTTTGACTTAAGGCAGGGGCAGGCAACCTTTCTGAGACCTGGGCCGGTCTCCCGTAGCCCAGGTCTCAGCTGAGCCAAGGTGTGGGGGGGGATGGCGGCGTGCGCACATGCGCGCGCGCCCCTCCGCCCCCATGCACGCCCCCGCTGCCTATGTTGCTGGGGGGCTGGGGGAGGGGGGGAAATGGTGTGGGGGCCGGTGGATTCCCTCGGTGGCGACTGGCTTCCAGGGAGGAGGCCTGTCCCCGCCGAGGGTCCCCCCGAGGAGGCTTCCCTCGCTGGCGACGGGCCTCCTCCCGGGCGCTGCACGCACTCCCGGTGCCGCAACCGCCATTTTGATCTCCAAAATGGCGGCCGTGACGCGTTTGCGCATGTGCAGTAATCCTGCGCATGCGCAAACGTGTTGTGGCCGCCATTTTGGAGACCAAAATGGCGGTCAAAGTGTGCACGGCCGGGCGGCAGCCGAACCGGACGGCGGCGGCGGCCATGGCAGCAGGGGTCCGCCTGGGCCCGTAAGTCAGGCAACCTGGGCCAGAAGCGGCCCGAGGGCCATAGGTTGCCAACCCCTGACATAAGGTAACCCTAAAAAGACCTATTTTCTTGGCAAAATTTAGTCAGAAGAGGATTGGCTTTGCCTTCCTCTGAGGTTGAAAGAGTGTGGTTTGTCCAAAGTCACCCAGGTCCTTTGCAGACTGCCAGAAATAGTGCAAATTGAGTCCACTTTA